CGGTTGACTAGCTGGAATTACGGGATAGAATGTATTGATGTAAAAGCTGGAGACGTTGTCATACAAATACTGATTCTGCTGCTAGTGAAGGTGCAGGACCATCGCAAACTTTTATAACTATCTGGCTAGGACTGTGCCTGGCTACCTTTCGTCTGGACATCCCTGATCCACCCATACGCCCATTTATTCAGTAGTCATTACTCATCTTCCTTAAACCTATATGTATTTATTCACCCATCACCACTTAGACCACTTATTCTCATCTATTCCTGCATTCGTCTCTAATGCCTTCATTCACTCCTCTCTTAAAGACCAATCCACCTTAAACCACCCAACTGTCTTCGTACTCCTAGTTAAAGCCGCCTTCCTCATCCGTGGGAAGGCTTCCCAAATCGGATAAAAGGGTCGTTATAACCAGAGGAGAGAAAATAGGGAACAAAGTCAACGTGTCACCAACAGGTCAGAATATCGCAATAGGGATTTGGGACTTGCAAAATAGCAGCGCCAGGTGTAATAAGGACTTGCATGTACTTAAAAGACACCCCACACGATATCACTCATGCAAGAATCGAACGTTGAAAGATTAATTTTTTGTCCGGGTAGATTTGAAACGGAGGTAAAGACGTAAAAAATCATCCCTAGGACAAACTCCACTTGAGGGTCTGCTAAGGAAAAGCTCAACCTGGGATGTTGGAAGCTTTTTATATCTTCGGTACTATCGATAGGCAGATTATCGTGCATTTTTACAATGGGCATGGGATGTGTGATAAAAGTGAGTGTTTTTGCTGTATGCCAACCGCTTATAAAAGTAGAAGTCGCCAATTTGGATTTAAAACCATCAACTAAACCGTTTTGAATGACCCTTAGGGTTGTTTATTAGCAACAGTGCGTGACAGAATAGGGTGCCTCCAAACCAATGCGTCACCTCTACAGGCAAAAGCCCGCTAACAATACTCATGACATCATTCCATCTTCTAAGCAATATGGCATAGGTTTTCTATTTTGCATACGTTATGCCCTACAATAACTAGGGAGGGAATAAGCTCTTTGAGAGCCCATCCACATAAGTAAAGATCAGTCAAGTAAAAATAGCTACAACAGGGAAAGTTTGTCATTAGTCCTTACTACTAAGAACACGCGCTTACTTCGAAAAACAGTCGACAAAAGCAATTTATGTCTGAATATTTGTTTACGCACAATTCTGGGATCGTAGTGAGTCTTGCCATTACAATAGGTAAATGCAAATGCACGATAAGTCAAAACATGATTAATGAAGTTAATTATGGTACATAGCTTTGGAAAATTGGCAAAATTTACTCTACAACACTAAATTGGATTACTCACATAGGTGGGTAATTAGCGTTTCCCTTGTTGGCATCCCAGTCTCACCCTATTCCTCGGTTTTCACCATTTCGTGCCTTTTCTGCAGCCAAAACTCTTCCTTTGACCTGACCAAGGATTAAAAACATCTTTGCGTTTTAGTGTGGAATGAGCCTCAGGATTGGTCAACTAATCCACCATCATTGCACACACCTGCTTCACCCGCTTTTCCCTCTTTTCTCTTATCCTCCACCATCATGTAGCTATCCCTCCCATCGCATCGCTTTCAAATTTATTTATTCCATGTCGTCGCATAGCATGTTTGTCAATAAAATGCACTGCGCAGCACTTTCGAGCAGGCTGCCATGTTGGTGGCAGTGGTGGTTCTTCCTTTCGTCATAACCTTCATTGCTATCGTGCACTTCAACATCAGTACCATTACATTTATGCTTGTGCCATGCAGCTTAGCTGATTGCATTTTGTGTGCTTTCCTCACTGCATTCTCTTCCGCCACTTCTGTTGACGGTTGCATAATGAAGAGTGTGAGAGTTACGTTAAGGACAGGAATGGAGTGAGACATGGAGATGGTGGAGGAACTCTAACTACTTAAACTTATATTTGCATGTGATGACAAGAATGCGTGGTATGATAGAGAGTTGAAAAAAGTGCAGCGATGAAGCAGTGAAAGAATGCTAAACTGAATGAAAGAATAAATGAGTGATGTAATGTGAGGAATTTCGAGACAAAAAACGTAAAGAGTTTGCAGAAAGAGGGAAATGATGCAGTGCGTAGTTGGTTAAAAGAGTGCATGGTGAAAGGTGAGACTTGATGAGTTAATTATCGCCAGCAATTACACCACATAGAAACCCCCGGTTTCAGTCACACCAACGAGATTGTGCTACGTAAGGCGGGGTTAGTACAATCGTGGGTGACGGATGAGGAACACTCGGGGATGCTGGCCCACTTTCACGCATCCTACACCTCTACACCTTACTTTATTTTTCCTACCCGCTCTACCCTCTTCTTTCCTCTTTTCTGCAGTGTGACGTTCATGCTTGAAAAGTTTTTAACATTTTCTTATAATTTAGTTATCAATCTTTGGACTTTTACGCATTTTTAAGAATATCTATCCGTGCCACTCCATTTAGACTTGTTTGTATTTTTCTCTTCATTTTTTGGCCTTGTTATATACTTGTGTGTGACTTGTACTTTTCTTCTTATGTGTTTACGATTTGTGATTTCTGACTTGTGATTTCATTCTCCCTAACTGTATCTTACTAAATTTTGGGTCCTATTTTAAACGAATTAGAGAATCACTTAGTCGTTTTATGTTTGCCTATACCGTTTAGCTTCTTGCCTAATTTTTTAAGCTTCTAGATAGTTATGATAATTTCTATAATTCAAGGTGCTATCGACAGCGAATATCGGCGAACTGTCGTGCTTTCATTAAAGTGCAGAAAATGTGGGCACATGATCCTTTTGTAGCGACACTGGCTGCATGTTTTGCAAACAAGTTCCGAATATCGCAGCAGTAATAATGAATGCTCGCAAGTGAGTTGCATATGTATTTATAGCATCATTTACTACACACTCACAGAATAAATATGTAAATTGAAGCAATACAGAAGGCACTTCGGACTCAAATTTAGTGCTAAATCAGAAGCGTTGCTCAAGCAGTCAAAACCTAGGCAGCGCTTTTTGTTAAGACACTGAGTACTGAATAAGAAAAGCTAGAATTTGCTACTAAAACTTTGCTGCAGTTCTCAGTTTCCATTTATTCAAGGAGAAGCATAAACACGAATGAATTCATTCTCTTTGTAACTCCATCCATTCGTGTGTTGGAGCTGCTGAGTATCCTTTTAGAATTACTTCTGTCTTCATCGTCACAAGAGTATTTTTCATGCAAGAATTCTTTTCAATTCACTGCCTTGCATTACGTGAAATAAAATTTTCAATGAATCATATTGCATCCCATTACCGATCATCCATATTTTAAAATGAGATAGGAATTGATTACTTCCAATGTTTACTAAGCCTTTGAAAATTTAGAGAATATGCAAAACCGGCGGTGTAGTTTGCTTAACTTATCGCTTATACGTATGGATAAAGACTATACAGAGGTGAAGCACACTTGTACACAATGGAGGGGAATTACATCAATAGCTTAGGCATACCCGCTTTTCCAAAATTAGGGTGTCTTAAAGGGTGTGTTTCTACGAGATGAAGATTAAAACTATCTTATCAAAATCACGCAGACAGAACAGTACCGCGTCACCTTTGACCGCTACACAAATGTTGCGTCACCAACACATTAAATCCTGCATCCACAACGCATTATGGACTATACAATTAAGAAGTGAGGACACGCCTTGAACCAGTGTACGCTCTGGACAATTAGCTTCGCCGCTTATGCTACAAATTGCATTCTTTCACTCCATACCCTGTACTGAAATCGCCTGGTCGGCACGTGTCAAATGACCTGATGATGTTTGACTATCATCTCAAGCAGCATTATCGATCTCATCAAAGACAGGTGTAATATTCTTACCAATTACCGCTGACTTAACGTGGCTGCAGTTGGGTGATTAAGCTGCAAGCTTATTACAAACCAATTCCATGACATGATTTCAACCCATGATGATCATGTTGACGCGCGCCACTGCTACTGGTAATGACCAACTGGGTTCGTCCAAATCAGAGTGCAATGGCCCGCCGTGTGGAGCAAATTAACTACAAAAAATAAACCACCTCCTCCTTCTTTGTCACAAATGAAAGCAATTCAATTAAGTACTGCAAGCAGTGATAGCAAAATTATTCAAAGTTTGTCAGAAGCCTCAATCTTAGGCCTTATCCTCTGTTAGTATATCCTTGTTTGTGATCCCCAATGGTGCAATCCTAGTGCCACCGGATCTTACCATCGCCTTTCAGCAAAACGTTGCTCTAAACATTCCTACAGCCCATAAATTTTCCGCCGTATATTTATTTGGCCATAGAAGATACCATCTAAGCAGAAGAGCTCAGTCTCTTGACTTCCCCGTGTCTGCATACCTCGCTGACTCTAAATGATAATCTTGTCCAAAAGGGAGTGACAAGGATAGATAGTCTTAAAAAAGCAGAAAAGTCCAAAGATTGATAACTAAACTATAAGAAAATGTTAAAAACTTTTCAAGCATGAACATCACACTGCAGAAAAGAAGAAAGAAGAGGGTGGAGCAGGTAGGAAAATAAAGTAAGGTGTAGAGGTGTAGGATGCGTGAAAGTGGGCCAGCAACCCCAAACGTTCCTCATCCGTCACCCACAATTGTACTAATCCGACCCGACGTAGCACAATCTCATTGGTGTGACTGAAACTAGAGGTTTCTTTAATGCTTGGGCAGATTGCGGGGTTCAAGAACCAGATCACGCTGAAACTTTGCTTTTTGATGCCTCTAATTGGCCCGGGTATAATAAATACAGGTGGTATTGCCCTCCTATTTAACCAGAAGCATCAACAAACTAGTAACTCCTCCTGCATTTAGAAAATCCATTTGGTCAGCATGCACTTAAAATAACAATTTGTGACCGTGCAGTATCAACGGAAAGAAACAGCAGTGTTAGAGAGCCAAAAAATTGAGCCATTTTTGGTTTGACAAGTTATAGGGACTTGCAAACTGCGCAGATTGGCTAAATGCACGTTATTGCTCATGTTTGCAACTAGAAAAGCGTAAATTAGACACTTTAGTCTATCCGTAAGGCTATTTTCACTGCACTCTTTACCATTTCCCTCCTTGAAATCATGTCGCGCCTCATAATATCGGGTGATTTGGTGCTTGTTCTCGAGTCTAAATAGGTTGGTTCTTGACAGATGTGCGCCATAACATAGGAGCGAGGGAGAGCATAATGTTACCAAAGATGTTGTACACGAATGTCCCATAAGTGCAATTTCGGTACTGGACAACCGAAGGGTGGACCACTTTGAGGAGGAGAGGTGGCTGATTCTCAAAAATATAGACAGATTACACGTTGCCGTCACCGTGGTAAAATAATTCCGAAATAATATGTCAAGACCAACTTTTAGCTATGGTGGACACGACGGGTAGTGAAACAACTCGTCTGCAACATCGTTAACCAGATAGGGTAGACTGTAGAAGCTCCTAATCAGATAAGTGATGCAAACACCGGCAATAGATGACAAATAGTTTGGAAGACCGTCAATTTATTCTTCACTGCCTTCACCTCTGCTGCCAAAAGTGCCACTTACTTCAGGTTGTTTGCTAGCTGACTGACCCAGTTGTGCTAAAAATAGATCACGTATTTTATATAAACGCTTCTCTGGTTAACAAAGATATCGTTCGCTGCCATTATTTAGGATTCTAACAATCCTGATGTTACTGTTTTTCCAGCTTTTCTGCAGGTCTCTGAGAGATGACTCGGAATCCACACTATTTACAACATTGAGACACCCACAGTTCCTTGGTTTATTGGCTAGTATCATAGCAAAACATCAAAGGAGAGAAGGATCTAGGGAGACTCGCTCTAGGTGCCACCAAAACGAGTTAATATTCAGCAAATCTTACTGTGCCTGGCTACCTTTCGTCTGGACATCCCTGATCCACCCATACGCCCATTTATTCAGTAGTCATTACTCATCTTCCTTAAACCTATATGTATTTATTCACCCATCACCACTTAGACCACTTATTCTCATCTATTCCTGCATTCGTCTCTAATGCCTTCATTCACTCCTCTCTTAAAGACCAATCCACCTTAAACCACCCAACTGTCTTCGTACTCCTAGTTAAAGCCGCCTTCCTCATCCGTGGGAAGGCTTCCCAAATCGGATAAAAGGGTCGTTATAACCAGAGGAGAGAAAATAGGGAACAAAGTCAACGTGTCACCAACAGGTCAGAATATCGCAATAGGGATTTGGGACTTGCAAAATAGCAGCGCCAGGTGTAATAAGGACTTGCATGTACTTAAAAGACACCCCACACGATATCACTCATGCAAGAATCGAACGTTGAAAGATTAATTTTTTGTCCGGGTAGATTTGAAACGGAGGTAAAGACGTAAAAAATCATCCCTAGGACAAACTCCACTTGAGGGTCTGCTAAGGAAAAGCTCAACCTGGGATGTTGGAAGCTTTTTATATCTTCGGTACTATCGATAGGCAGATTATCGTGCATTTTTACAATGGGCATGGGATGTGTGATAAAAGTGAGTGTTTTTGCTGTATGCCAACCGCTTATAAAAGTAGAAGTCGCCAATTTGGATTTAAAACCATCAACTAAACCGTTTTGAATGACCCTTAGGGTTGTTTATTAGCAACAGTGCGTGACAGAATAGGGTGCCTCCAAACCAATGCGTCACCTCTACAGGCAAAAGCCCGCTAACAATACTCATGACATCATTCCATCTTCTAAGCAATATGGCATAGGTTTTCTATTTTGCATACGTTATGCCCTACAATAACTAGGGAGGGAATAAGCTCTTTGAGAGCCCATCCACATAAGTAAAGATCAGTCAAGTAAAAATAGCTACAACAGGGAAAGTTTGTCATTAGTCCTTACTACTAAGAACACGCGCTTACTTCGAAAAACAGTCGACAAAAGCAATTTATGTCTGAATATTTGTTTACGCACAATTCTGGGATCGTAGTGAGTCTTGCCATTACAATAGGTAAATGCAAATGCACGATAAGTCAAAACATGATTAATGAAGTTAATTATGGTACATAGCTTTGGAAAATTGGCAAAATTTACTCTACAACACTAAATTGGATTACTCACATAGGTGGGTAATTAGCGTTTCCCTTGTTGGCATCCCAGTCTCACCCTATTCCTCGGTTTTCACCATTTCGTGCCTTTTCTGCAGCCAAAACTCTTCCTTTGACCTGACCAAGGATTAAAAACATCTTTGCGTTTTAGTGTGGAATGAGCCTCAGGATTGGTCAACTAATCCACCATCATTGCACACACCTGCTTCACCCGCTTTTCCCTCTTTTCTCTTATCCTCCACCATCATGTAGCTATCCCTCCCATCGCATCGCTTTCAAATTTATTTATTCCATGTCGTCGCATAGCATGTTTGTCAATAAAATGCACTGCGCAGCACTTTCGAGCAGGCTGCCATGTTGGTGGCAGTGGTGGTTCTTCCTTTCGTCATAACCTTCATTGCTATCGTGCACTTCAACATCAGTACCATTACATTTATGCTTGTGCCATGCAGCTTAGCTGATTGCATTTTGTGTGCTTTCCTCACTGCATTCTCTTCCGCCACTTCTGTTGACGGTTGCATAATGAAGAGTGTGAGAGTTACGTTAAGGACAGGAATGGAGTGAGACATGGAGATGGTGGAGGAACTCTAACTACTTAAACTTATATTTGCATGTGATGACAAGAATGCGTGGTATGATAGAGAGTTGAAAAAAGTGCAGCGATGAAGCAGTGAAAGAATGCTAAACTGAATGAAAGAATAAATGAGTGATGTAATGTGAGGAATTTCGAGACAAAAAACGTAAAGAGTTTGCAGAAAGAGGGAAATGATGCAGTGCGTAGTTGGTTAAAAGAGTGCATGGTGAAAGGTGAGACTTGATGAGTTAATTATCGCCAGCAATTACACCACATAGAAACCCCCGGTTTCAGTCACACCAACGAGATTGTGCTACGTAAGGCGGGGTTAGTACAATCGTGGGTGACGGATGAGGAACACTCGGGGATGCTGGCCCACTTTCACGCATCCTACACCTCTACACCTTACTTTATTTTTCCTACCCGCTCTACCCTCTTCTTTCCTCTTTTCTGCAGTGTGACGTTCATGCTTGAAAAGTTTTTAACATTTTCTTATAATTTAGTTATCAATCTTTGGACTTTTACGCATTTTTAAGAATATCTATCCGTGCCACTCCATTTAGACTTGTTTGTATTTTTCTCTTCATTTTTTGGCCTTGTTATATACTTGTGTGTGACTTGTACTTTTCTTCTTATGTGTTTACGATTTGTGATTTCTGACTTGTGATTTCATTCTCCCTAACTGTATCTTACTAAATTTTGGGTCCTATTTTAAACGAATTAGAGAATCACTTAGTCGTTTTATGTTTGCCTATACCGTTTAGCTTCTTGCCTAATTTTTTAAGCTTCTAGATAGTTATGATAATTTCTATAATTCAAGGTGCTATCGACAGCGAATATCGGCGAACTGTCGTGCTTTCATTAAAGTGCAGAAAATGTGGGCACATGATCCTTTTGTAGCGACACTGGCTGCATGTTTTGCAAACAAGTTCCGAATATCGCAGCAGTAATAATGAATGCTCGCAAGTGAGTTGCATATGTATTTATAGCATCATTTACTACACACTCACAGAATAAATATGTAAATTGAAGCAATACAGAAGGCACTTCGGACTCAAATTTAGTGCTAAATCAGAAGCGTTGCTCAAGCAGTCAAAACCTAGGCAGCGCTTTTTGTTAAGACACTGAGTACTGAATAAGAAAAGCTAGAATTTGCTACTAAAACTTTGCTGCAGTTCTCAGTTTCCATTTATTCAAGGAGAAGCATAAACACGAATGAATTCATTCTCTTTGTAACTCCATCCATTCGTGTGTTGGAGCTGCTGAGTATCCTTTTAGAATTACTTCTGTCTTCATCGTCACAAGAGTATTTTTCATGCAAGAATTCTTTTCAATTCACTGCCTTGCATTACGTGAAATAAAATTTTCAATGAATCATATTGCATCCCATTACCGATCATCCATATTTTAAAATGAGATAGGAATTGATTACTTCCAATGTTTACTAAGCCTTTGAAAATTTAGAGAATATGCAAAACCGGCGGTGTAGTTTGCTTAACTTATCGCTTATACGTATGGATAAAGACTATACAGAGGTGAAGCACACTTGTACACAATGGAGGGGAATTACATCAATAGCTTAGGCATACCCGCTTTTCCAAAATTAGGGTGTCTTAAAGGGTGTGTTTCTACGAGATGAAGATTAAAACTATCTTATCAAAATCACGCAGACAGAACAGTACCGCGTCACCTTTGACCGCTACACAAATGTTGCGTCACCAACACATTAAATCCTGCATCCACAACGCATTATGGACTATACAATTAAGAAGTGAGGACACGCCTTGAACCAGTGTACGCTCTGGACAATTAGCTTCGCCGCTTATGCTACAAATTGCATTCTTTCACTCCATACCCTGTACTGAAATCGCCTGGTCGGCACGTGTCAAATGACCTGATGATGTTTGACTATCATCTCAAGCAGCATTATCGATCTCATCAAAGACAGGTGTAATATTCTTACCAATTACCGCTGACTTAACGTGGCTGCAGTTGGGTGATTAAGCTGCAAGCTTATTACAAACCAATTCCATGACATGATTTCAACCCATGATGATCATGTTGACGCGCGCCACTGCTACTGGTAATGACCAACTGGGTTCGTCCAAATCAGAGTGCAATGGCCCGCCGTGTGGAGCAAATTAACTACAAAAAATAAACCACCTCCTCCTTCTTTGTCACAAATGAAAGCAATTCAATTAAGTACTGCAAGCAGTGATAGCAAAATTATTCAAAGTTTGTCAGAAGCCTCAATCTTAGGCCTTATCCTCTGTTAGTATATCCTTGTTTGTGATCCCCAATGGTGCAATCCTAGTGCCACCGGATCTTACCATCGCCTTTCAGCAAAACGTTGCTCTAAACATTCCTACAGCCCATAAATTTTCCGCCGTATATTTATTTGGCCATAGAAGATACCATCTAAGCAGAAGAGCTCAGTCTCTTGACTTCCCCGTGTCTGCATACCTCGCTGACTCTAAATGATAATCTTGTCCAAAAGGGAGTGACAAGGATAGATAGTCTTAAAAAAGCAGAAAAGTCCAAAGATTGATAACTAAACTATAAGAAAATGTTAAAAACTTTTCAAGCATGAACATCACACTGCAGAAAAGAAGAAAGAAGAGGGTGGAGCAGGTAGGAAAATAAAGTAAGGTGTAGAGGTGTAGGATGCGTGAAAGTGGGCCAGCAACCCCAAACGTTCCTCATCCGTCACCCACAATTGTACTAATCCGACCCGACGTAGCACAATCTCATTGGTGTGACTGAAACTAGAGGTTTCTTTAATGCTTGGGCAGATTGCGGGGTTCAAGAACCAGATCACGCTGAAACTTTGCTTTTTGATGCCTCTAATTGGCCCGGGTATAATAAATACAGGTGGTATTGCCCTCCTATTTAACCAGAAGCATCAACAAACTAGTAACTCCTCCTGCATTTAGAAAATCCATTTGGTCAGCATGCACTTAAAATAACAATTTGTGACCGTGCAGTATCAACGGAAAGAAACAGCAGTGTTAGAGAGCCAAAAAATTGAGCCATTTTTGGTTTGACAAGTTATAGGGACTTGCAAACTGCGCAGATTGGCTAAATGCACGTTATTGCTCATGTTTGCAACTAGAAAAGCGTAAATTAGACACTTTAGTCTATCCGTAAGGCTATTTTCACTGCACTCTTTACCATTTCCCTCCTTGAAATCATGTCGCGCCTCATAATATCGGGTGATTTGGTGCTTGTTCTCGAGTCTAAATAGGTTGGTTCTTGACAGATGTGCGCCATAACATAGGAGCGAGGGAGAGCATAATGTTACCAAAGATGTTGTACACGAATGTCCCATAAGTGCAATTTCGGTACTGGACAACCGAAGGGTGGACCACTTTGAGGAGGAGAGGTGGCTGATTCTCAAAAATATAGACAGATTACACGTTGCCGTCACCGTGGTAAAATAATTCCGAAATAATATGTCAAGACCAACTTTTAGCTATGGTGGACACGACGGGTAGTGAAACAACTCGTCTGCAACATCGTTAACCAGATAGGGTAGACTGTAGAAGCTCCTAATCAGATAAGTGATGCAAACACCGGCAATAGATGACAAATAGTTTGGAAGACCGTCAATTTATTCTTCACTGCCTTCACCTCTGCTGCCAAAAGTGCCACTTACTTCAGGTTGTTTGCTAGCTGACTGACCCAGTTGTGCTAAAAATAGATCACGTATTTTATATAAACGCTTCTCTGGTTAACAAAGATATCGTTCGCTGCCATTATTTAGGATTCTAACAATCCTGATGTTACTGTTTTTCCAGCTTTTCTGCAGGTCTCTGAGAGATGACTCGGAATCCACACTATTTACAACATTGAGACACCCACAGTTCCTTGGTTTATTGGCTAGTATCATAGCAAAACATCAAAGGAGAGAAGGATCTAGGGAGACTCGCTCTAGGTGCCACCAAAACGAGTTAATATTCAGCAAATCTT